ATGTCTCCTGCATCAAAGTCCAAGTCTAAGGAAAAAAAGGCTGGAAAGGATTCCCAAAAGACTCCTCCAAAGCCTTCTGTACCTGCTAATGCAGGCAGTGGTGTAGCAGCTAGTGCATATAATCCTTTGTCAGGAACATTTCATTCTCTTGACTCAGTACCATCATCCTCTGCTTCACCTCTTCAGAATAATGGCCGTTTCCGGAACATTGAAGAGACAGATGATCATTCTGGGGGTTCTCTTGGAGCTGGTGTTGAATATGATTCCGTTTCTAACAATGGTAGCTGGTCTGGTGAGTCTGAAGATCATCATAAAGAGAAAACATCTAATCCTCCCTCTCGACAGGAAGCAATACCAGGAGCTGACAATGACAAACGAGAAAAAATTCGCCAGAAGAATGAGAGGAAACATCAGCGCCAGAAAGAGAGACGAGCTCAGGAATTGCATGAGCGATGCAGTGGCTATCTCATGTCAAGAAAGCTTGAAGCACTTGCTCAGCAGCTCGTGGCAATGGGATTTTCTCATGAACGGGCAACAATGGCTCTTATATTGAATGAAGGCAAAGTAGAGGAATCTGTAGCTTGGCTGTTTGAAGGGGGTGAAGATGCAGATAAACATAGAGAATCAACTGTTGGTGGGGGGAATCTTAAAATTGACATATCAGAAGAGCTTGCTCAGATTGCTGATTTGGAAATAAGATACAAATGTATGAAGCAGGAGGTGGAAAGAGCAGTTGTTGCTGCTGAGGGTGACCTCCAGAAAGCAGCAGAAGCTTTAAGAGCAATGAAACAGGACTCACCTTCAGCTCCGCCTAAGCCAGAAGAAACTGATGATCCTCCAACTGCTGGTAATATGAAGGTGCTAGTGGGAGCTGGTCAGGGCTTGGCAGGAAGGCCACAACCAAAACTGAATCCCTCTCCTGCAACACAGCAACGTAGAGATGAAAAGGATTTTAACTACACAAAAACAGCTGGAGCAGTTGGAGGACCTTCAGAACCTGTGAATAAAAATTTTCAGCCTTTGAAGAGAATACAACCAAAGTCGGAGTGGGCAAAACCCCAACAAACAGCAGTTCCAGTTGATAGAAGGTGGCCAAATGTGGGGTCAAATACTTCTTATTCCCTGACATCACCTCCGCCAGCAAGAACAGAAACCAGTTATGTGGTTGTTGGCAGTGAATTTAAGAGCATTCAACCATCACTTAGAGAACCTATTATAATGATGCAGCGTCCCCAGTCTGTAAATACAAAGCAGATTATAGCTACAAGCACAAGCATAAGCTCATCTCCTCCCACAGCCAGCAGTTGGTTTCCAACTGGTAGTGTTGAAACTGTGAAGTCCAATGGGTTCATCCCCCATATTCCTAGCACTAGAAGTCTCAGTCCCAACAATCCGAGTTCAAATCAGATGTACCACCCACTTCATTATCAACAACAACAGCAACACTTCACACCCACCGCTAGTCTAGGAGATTCTCCCGGGACCAGTCGAGGGAACAGTTTATGGAATAGAACAGGTGCATCACCAGCACTTGCTGCTGCATCTTCTCTAGGACTTTTCTCTGGCTTGGGTTCAACTGGTTCATCAGGGGCCTCTTCTCCTGTTGACTGGAGCTCTGGTAGCTCGATGGCACAGTTGGACTATTCCAACATTGATTGGAGTTTGGACCGAAGTTTGGCTTCTCCAAGGCCTGGCGGTTTGTGGCTGGGATTGACATCATCTTTGAAGAACACCCACATATATGATCCAAACACCAGTGGATTGGGTTCTACTCCTGCCGTGAGATTGACAACCCCTAATGGTAATGGTGTTCCCATTGTTGGACTGCAGGATGGTGGAGCGGCTCCGGCTGAAACATCTGCTGCGGGTTCTCGCGAATGGACTTCACCATTTGAAGGGAATGATCTTTTTACATTATCCAAACGGTTTGTTTCTTCTCCTTCACTGTAGGGTGGGGGAAAGACCAAATGAATAAAAAAAAATGAAAAAAAGGACAATGTGCTTGGATTTGGTGTTAGTGTTGGTTCTTGTGGTTCTTTGCAATGTTGATGGTTGGTGCATATCTTTCATTTACCAAAGCACAACCCAAGTCCCCTTCAATTTTCCCTTTTTTTTTTTTTTTAAGATTAACAACCAGAAAATAATTAAATAATTCATAGAGGTAGGGATGGTCTTTTGAATTTAAGTATAACTGACTACCATACCATGGGTAATAAAGAGTGAAATTAACCTACATCTATTTATTGAAATTGGACTTTCGTGGCCTATAAATCTTTCAGCATCTTTGAAGACCACTTGAATATAATTTCAGAAGCTTGATAATTGCCCCTAACCCCTAACCAACATCTTCCTCTGGTGTCAATGTCTCATGCTGATTGAGGTATAAGTTGACATATATCAAACCTTCAGATTATGGCCAAGGAAAAAAAAAAATTATGGCCAAGGAAAAAAAAAAAGAAAAAAAAAAAAAGGAAAAAACCTTATGATGCTAAGGTTTCTCCCACCTGAAGCTAAGCAGTCGCGAAATTTAGCATTACTATGTTCTGTCGCTACACATATCAAATCAAGCTGGACATTATTACATTATTCTCTGCTGTAAACATCAATGCTTTCATCTTGAATAAATCACTCCATATTTCGTGAAATTTCAGAGGGTTTACACGTAGCAGTTGCTGAAGCAGGTTCTCTGTACCACTCATTTGCTTCACGAGTGATGAAATTGGCCTCTGCATTTATGCAAAGCCTTTATATCAAGACGTGCAATTGAAAAGTTACATATAAGCAGTTTTTTTCTGAGGAAATCATATGGATACTTTAAAAGCTACAAGTCACTCAGGGCTTCAGCAATAACATTGATACACAAGAAGTAACCAATCCAAAGACTCCAGACAGCTTTAAGACGTACCTGACAAAAATACATCACGGTAATCATCCTCATCATATACAAACTGTGGAGGATCTGGGGAACCAATCCCAACAATTGTACTTCCACTGCGTTACAAAATAAAAAAGAGTAGCATGAATTGTTTATTTGATAACACGATTAATTTAGCACTCCCTCTCATTTATACAATTCATGGTCTTCCTATGAAAATGAAACATAATCTTACATATCTATATTAGTAAAAATTTTACGGTAAATGCCAATGTCTTTTTATGAAATAACATGACAGTAATAGGATTTAAAAGCAGGTAGGAAAAAGAATTTCAACAAATTAGTACATAAAATTTTTTATAAGCTGAAAAATTCACATTTTTTGAAGTGAAAAATATTGGTTGAGCAAGGAGAAATTGATATGCAGTTATACTAATTATGGAATGAATGTTGAGATTTGAAAAGGGTTTGCATGATGTTAGTTCCTTTTGAGGATAGTTTGAAAGATGTTTGTACCTCCCAGACATAAGAACGGCATCATATTCTCCACGGCTAGCAGCAATTATGCGTTGTTTTAGTCGTTTAAGAGATGGGAGAACTTGAAAGGCTGGAGCTTCTGCATCAAAAGAAATAAGCTTGCTTAAGGCAATTCCTCTCCCAGGAATTGTTATGACATAATTTGCAAGTTCTGACCACTACTGAGGATATTAAAGCATACATTTAGCCTAGTTATTAATCAGATCACAAAAATTGGCCCCTTCCAATAAATTAAGTCACTTTTCAGCTCAATCCACATGGAATTCATCAGATTAGTGACAAGCTATGTATTAAGACCAGGATGTTAAATTTGAACAAATCTCAAGAGAAAAAGGGAACAGAAGATACAATTGAGTTCTCTTCATGAATTCATACCTAAATCATTTATACAGACGTTTTGGGATATTCCGTGTGTTGATATCTTCTCTAGCAATGTCAAAGGATCAACCTTGCTAGCTAGATCCAGTCGAAAATGCTGAGAAAAAAAAAAATCTCTTAACAATTCAATATTGCAAGTGAATATATGCAGAGTAGCATTTTTCACCAAAATGCATTACCTTGTAAACTTCAGCTGTTGGACATGCCTCTTGAGGCTTTATGAGAACCATTGGAAGGTCTGAAGGTAAAGGCGGGGAAATATCTTGAACAACCTGGAATCATTAGCATAAAGTTCAAGAGTGAATAAAGCAAGCAAAAGTAAAACAGCAGATCTGCTATCAGAGACCAAAGTAAGGAAATTAAAAGAAAAAGCTTGCATCTCTGGGGTGTACTTTTGAATTGACAATATGTTTAAGCCATACCTCACCTCGACCTGTACAATATGCTGCTCCATGAGAGAAAAAGAAAGGAATATCTGAACCTATCTCACTTGACCATTCTTGAAGTTCTTTCTCAGTTGCAGGGGAGCCATTGAACAGATTGGCTGCCCAAAGTGCAGTTGCAGCATTGCTGCTACCACCACCAAGGCCAGCACCAGTTGGCACTTTTTTATCAAGATGAATCTGCACATAAAATTTCAGCAAAGGATATAAACTAATAATCTTTTAGATAGAACTTAAACGATTTATAGGAAAAATATCCAAACAAAATTCTATATTCCAAGCCCATGTATCTTGCTTCTTACCCAGAAGAAGTTGTCACTCCCAGTTTTTTTCCTGTAAAGATTAAGGGCTTTAATAATCTGCAAAAAGGATAGCCACAGCGTATTAAAAGATTTAAGATCATAAGGAAAAAGAACTAAAGAGTTGCAGAGGGTTTAAATGTTACCAAGTTTCTGTCATCAAGAGGGACACCGGTCACATTAGTTGACAAACGATCCTTAGTTTTGGATGGTGACAAAGAGAACTTAATTATATCTCCTAGACTGATTGCCTGGATTTACAGAAAAGCGTTGAAATATAACAGTTGGTGGAATGATTGAAGACAAAAATGCACCCAGTAAATAGACAATAACGCTAACAAAAAAGTCTCAATTTTAGTTAATTGCAAATGGAATAAGGCGTTGGATGTTGCAATTGGAAGAACTTACATGAAAGAGAGAAGCCAAATCATGATACCCATCTTCCCTCTTGTTCGTTATTCTCAAGAACACATTAATCTAACACCCAACATAGGGCTTCACAATCAAACATAAATCTGCAGAAGGAAAAGAACAACACAAAAATTCAATTCAAAGCAAGTGAATGATTACCTTGCAAGGTGAGAACAAAGTGAGCCTTGAAAGGGGAGCATCCTTATCTACTTCATTTGCTAACTTGTTTATCCTCTCATCAGGGTCATACACTACCTAATTCAATAAACCCAAAAAAAAAATAAAAAATAAAACTTTAACTTGAAGCCATAGCATAGCAGAATATCAAAGATTGATATTCAAAATGGTACCTCCAGCTTTCTCTGGGTTGCTTTAACAACAGAGTTTCTTCGAAACTGCACTTTTGGATGAATTGAAGCAGACCCATGAGGCGCAAATGAAGAAAAACTGGTTTTTGGGAAGGATTTGGAGGAAGGGTAGAAGAGATGGTGGTTGCAAAGGAGATGGGAAGAAGCCATAGCTTTAATACTGTTATTGGTTTCTAAAGTGAAGGGGAAAACTTGTCCGGCAGTCACTATCTGTGTATGTATGAATCAATTTAAAAGAACAGATGAAAAGAATGGGAATCCAATTTCTTCTCATCAAGTTTTCTGCCTTCTTGTCTTCTCCGCTCTTTAATGTTGGCCCTCGTCCATTTACGCCATCGGAAAATCACGATTTACACGTTTATTTATTTTAAAAACAGGCTGCACTTCCTGCCAATATTAATAAAGGATAAAATTCTTTATATTTAGAGAACATTTTTTTTATTAATGGTTAAAAGTAATATAATTTAAGAGTTATATATTATATTATAATATTTTATCATTTATTCGGTCATGTGTCTAGAGTTAATATATGCGTTTCTTTTTTCAATTTAGTTGAAGGAGGAATATCCATTCATATACACATGTTTGAACCAATAATTTGTCTATTTGAATAAAAAGAACTCTATTTTTTTAAATAAAATTTTAAATTCAAATGTTATGAATAAAAAAATAAATACTATAAAAGCCTCCTTCTTTTGACAACATTTAATTCTAAATTAATGATCCTTTATCACCATACCTTTTTGTCATTTGTATGGAGGTTTTATCAAGGATGCTCAACAAAGCAGCCAAAGAGGGAATGCTACCTTTCCATCCGAAATGCAATAATGTTGGATTGACTCATCTATGCTTTGTAGATGATTTACTAGTATTCACTAACGGTTCAACAAGAGTAATAAGTGTTGTTGATTTTATATTGAGACAATTTTATTTGGCCACAGGTTTAAAGGTGAACTACCATAAGTCAAAAATTTTTTGTTGTGAAATGCAACATAAAATAATAAGGGAGCTAGTTGACTTGTATGGTTTCAAAGTGGGAACCCATCCTGTTAGATACCTTGGGGTACCGCTTATAACTGGAAGACTAACAGATGCTGCTTTAAAGCCTCTCATCACAAAAATAATTGAGAAAATCAGTTCATGGACTTCCAGATATCTATCATTTGTTGAAAGATTGCAACTTATTTCATCTGTTCTTCAGAGCATAACAAAATTTTGGTGTTCTATTTTCATTCTACCAAAAAGAGTAATTAAATTAACGAAGGGAATTTGCAATGCTTTTCTTTGGAAAGGTAGGGCAGCTGATGCAAGAGGAGCCAAGGTAAGGTAGGCAACAGTATGTCAACGAAAGATGGAAGGAGGATTAGGCTTGAAGCCTTTGCATAATTGGAATGTGGCTTGCATTTTGCGATTTATTTGGCTGCTTTTCACTAAGGCAGGCTCTATTTGAGTGGCATGGGTGCAAACATATTTGCTTAAAGAAAAGAGTTTTTGGTCAGTAGGAATTCTTGCAGACACTACTTGGAGCTGGAGAAAAATCCTAAAACTTAGAACATGTGCTAGACCTCTGGTGAAGTATATAGTTGGTAAAGGTGACACTATTTTTCTCTAGTATGATTCTTGGCATCCCAAGGAACCTCTTATTGAAACATAAGGGCCAACAAATTATACGGGATGTAGCCATTCCCTCTCAAGCAAAATTGTCTCATGTAATCCAGGGGGATTATTGGAAATGGCCTCTTGCTAGGTCTCTTGAACTATTGCAGATTCAAATCGTTTTGTGTGGAACATTATATCCTAATCAGGCTATGGAGGATCAGGTTGTTTAGTTGGCTTCTCCATCAGGTTCTTTTCGAACAAGTGCTACTTGGAACTTCCTTAGGGAAAAAAGATCTAAGGTACCCTGGTTTAGACTCATTTGGTACTGAAATTCTATTCTCAGACATAGTTTTATTGCTTGGCTGGCTATATTAGATAGACTCTTTACCAGGTCCAGGCAGAAGAATTGGTCTTCTTCCATTGATGACACTTGTGTGCTATGTGGGAATGTAAGGGAAACTAGGAACCATCTCTTCTTCTCTTGTCCCTACACTACTCATTTTGGGAAAAGATTTCTTCTATGCTAGAATTCCCATTAACCTGCATTTGGCAAGATGCTTTGGATTGGTTATGTAAGAGAGTTAAACATAAGGCATTGTACAACTCTCTTTTTAAATTAGCTTGGTGTGCATCAATATATCATATCTGGATTGAAAGAAACAGCACGATACATAGATAGCTATACAAACCTCTTTCTGCAATAATTGATATGATTCAAATGGATGTCCGAGATTGAGTACTAGGGTCTATAAAGCAAAGGTCTTCTCCATGTCAAGGAGAATTGCAGTTCAATGGGGATTAGAAACTTTATGTACAGCTAAGGTTTGAATATACATTAGTTTAGGAGTTGTTCCATTCTTTGTATTGATATTAGTAGTAGCCTTAATTTAAAGAGCTGCTTTGTATATATTTTAATAGTAAATTCACATTTTACCAAAATAAAAATTTAATAATAATTTAATACATTTTTTAAATATTAAGAAATTAATATAAAAAACAATACATGCACTTAACCCTTCGGTCAATGACATTAATCACATTGAAAATTGTGCACTCCCTCCTACCTTTAAACCTAGGTTCGTTCCCACCCCACCCCTTGTAAACATGATATATATATATATATATATAAAACAATACACGCTTAATTATTCACGTGAAAAAGTACACTGTATTAGTTGTAAACGGACTCCAAGTCCCAACCACCTTGTGGCCCAATCTATAGTGCCTGCCACACTTTCCGAGCTGAGTAAATGTTTTACTCCCTCCTCCAATATAATATATTTAATAAAATTTTATATTTATTTTGTAAGAAAAAAAAAAAAAATGCTTGCAAACGTCTGACCGTCTTGCTTTTAAGGTCAAAAACACTCCGTTAGCCATAAAATGTACGGAGGGACGAAATTGAGCACTTTTTAAATGGTATAGGGAGGACATGTTAAGCTGAAATAAAGTAGAGAGAGGAAATGAGGCGATTCCATAGTAGAAGGGTTAAATTGAACTTTTTTACATAGTAGAGGGATGATAGTTGGCTTTTTTACATAGTAGGCGATTCCATACGTGGACGAGAGATGATCGTCCTCTGCCATTCCGCCCTCTCATTTCTCCGTCACCGTGTTCCTTGCCTCCCCTTTGGCCGGCAGGCTATCCAAGAGCGTTTATAGGCTATTTTTTACTTTTTGGTTCCGGTCTGACGCCATAGATCCGGCATGCTACTGCGTCAGATAGACGGTCCTGCCTCGGATGAGTGCTCCTATGGCGTCGTGGAAGGGCCGCACAGCAATGGAGGATGCCATGGTCGCCAGTCGGTTATCTAACAGCGTCGATCGGCTATTTTCCTTTTTGGTTCCGATCTAACGCCATATATCCGTCATCATACTGCGTCAAATCGACGCTCCTGGCTACGATGAGCGCTCCTATGGCGTCGGCCGGTGTCTGGAGGGCAGATCTGGTACGCACCCCTGGATCAGGTTCTAATAGAGACACAGGTCTCGGTTTCCTACTGCTTCTTATCGTCGATCGGTGTTCCTAGGTTCCAGTGCGGCCAATGATCCGCAATGGTTCCTGTTGGGGATGGACAATGTCGACGTCTACGTTTTAGTGAGTACTCGCTGTCTATTCTATTTGTTCATTATTTTTATTTTTTTGTTGATTATTTTTACTTCTTTTGTGTATCTTTGATTTTTGTCACTGTTCTTAATTTGTTATTGAGGTGTTCGTGTTCCAAGAAACTGTAGGGAAGAAAATGCTTTTTATGTGTAAATTTTGGAATATTGATTTCATATCTGGTGAATCTAATGAACTCAGTTTCCTGCCTTATTGTTATGTTGTTTAATTGACTAGTGAATTCGTGAGAAAATGGAATGGCTGCCATAAGAACCTAGCTTTAAAATTCATGAAAAATGGTAGTAAGATGTTGTTATCCTTCACCTGTTCGTTTTCCTGATAACAAATCTTGTTTTCACGCATTTTTGTTTACTGGAAAATTGGAATGGCTGCCATAAGAACCTAGTGTTAAAATTCATGAAAAATGGTGGTAAGATACTAAGATGCTGTTTTCCTTCACTCGTCTGCATTTTCCTGAGTTTGTTTTATTTGTGGTTATCCTTTTAACTGTTTGATAGCCAAGAACAATGTGGGAAAGAGCATGGAATTTAATAATAGTTCGATTGCCTTTGTTTTTTCTTCTGTTGTTGAAAATTCGTAGGAAACCAATATATAATTGCAAATTTTAGTCCTCCACCTCAGGTGTATGCTAGAACTGATAAGTTTATAATTTTTTTATACCAATGCTTCCTATTTTGTACTTTCAGTTGCTTGACATATGGAATTATGATTATTTGAAGGTGAAAACTTGAATCTTCTTGTAATTAGCATTTTCATTGTATACTTTGTTGTTTGGGGAAGTAGGTGGAAGGTTCTTGTTCTGTCTGGTTTCAAACAATAATTAATACTTTATGATGTTATATTTTAAATTCATTTTTCTAATCCAAAGATTTTTCTGAAAATTTGAATGGAGTTTTGAAGTTTCTTGGCTGCAGGGAGTTGATTTTATTACTGATGACTTGTCAATCTGTTTGTAGTTTGAAGGACATTGCTTAAATGCAGGAAAATGAAGGAGGGGAATCATTGCCATGGGACGAGCAGTCATTTTTATCTGGTGGAGAATGTAAATCGGGCATTCTGAGTGAATTTTTTTGAGGAGGTGGGTTTGTTTGGTCTTCTTGCACTTTTTCAATTGTTAATGAACATGTTTCCTCTGGTATAGCTTGACGTCTTCCTGTTCCAACTAATTTTTTATGAAATATGTACTTTGAGGGAGGGGGATGGTCGTTTAATAATACAGTAATGTAGTTTCTGCATTCTTAAACTGGTATTTTTCTTTTCACTTAGCTAATGTCTTTTGATATTATCTTAATATATGCTGTTACTTCTGGGGTCAGTTTTTCCCTTTTTTTTTTTTGTTTGTCACCATTCTTAGAAAAGTATGTTTCCAAATGTGAGATATTGGTTGAAATGTTATCTATGAGACTTTCATGTTCTAAGAATTTTTTTTCATTATTGACTGAATTTGCATCATGTGAAGAAGATTGTAGATGGGATTTGATTTATTCTGAAATATGTATAAGCCATTAATTTATCAAGGAGTGTGATGAAATTACTCTTTGAGGTCATCCCCATCAGGGACCAAACCATGCATTCCACAGGTTCAGGCAAACCTTCCACTTGAACCCAAAACCAAAACTGGTTGTAAATTTTGGACTTCCTCAAAATTTTCTTTATGGAGTTTTTAATGTTTTTATGTAAAAAATAAGTCCTTAAACCTTGTTGCTAATATGTGCATTCTGAATGGAGAAGTCACGAGGCTTATTCAATTATTGAATTAAGCCCATGAAAACTGTGAACTCTCGAGTTTCGGAGCTAAAGGCTACCTATTCATTGGCTTCAAGATTCAAGACCAACAGGGGTGATAGACAAGCTAGGACAACCTTAGGAATCCTATACGAAGATTTCACTTCTTCTCTTCCTGAGAAGGAATGTCGTTATTAAGCCTGTGATTTTGATTTTTTGAAAATTAAAATGTGGGTTTCAATACAAAACTTGCATATAATCTAAAATCAATTACTTATAAGTGAAGTGATTCTCTTTGTATTTAACTCATGCCTTTTTGTTATATCTTCAATATGAAATTGTTTCATTCAACAAATTTTGGCACAAATGAGAATTGCCAAAAAAGCAAAATCTTTTTCATTGCCTAGTAATTATTAATTGATTAATTCTATATATCAATCAAAGGTGAGTGAATATATTAAATAATTTTTTAAATTAAAATATTTTTACCACAATAAAATCTTGGAAGTTGGGTGGTAAGTCTTTCAAGAGAAATTTTATCTTTAATTACATTAAATTTAGTTATGAAATTATTAAATTATCCTTAAAGTAAAGAGTATTTGAGGTCATTTGGCAAGCTTCCTTTGGCTATAAATAGACTATTCATTTGATGAAAAAGTGGGGAAAGAGGAGAAAAGAAGAGGAATAGCAAGCTTAAAGCGTCTCAACAATTCTCAAAGTTTCAAGTCTCAACTAATAAAGGTTTCAACTCTATACCAAGGAGGAAAATTTTCAAAGACAAGTCTCAAATCCCCTAATAACAAGATCAAGCTAAGTCCCTTGCCCTTCTAAATTCAATTGTCAATCAAGAGATCGTGTTATTCTAGAATGTGCCATCATTTAAAATTCAAGCATGTACATTGTAACACCCCCAAACTAGAGAATTTTTTCCCATATTTTTTCAAATTTGTTCTAATTTTTATTTATTATTTTACAAATCAATATAAATTTTGCAAAATTTGTGACTACAATGAAAAACAAGATGTTATATGCAAGCTCCAAAGACAGATTCAAAGAGAAGTTGGATGGGATTCAAGCGGAGTTGTAGGCAACCCATCCTAACCATTTATGGATCTTAACAAGTGGAGTTAAGGACAATCTTCTTATAACTATTGATAAAGGAGTAGGCCTTTGATATTAAGACCTACCCCTCCATCAATGTTTAAAAAAAGCACAAAATTGTAAAAGTGCATTCTCTTATTTGAAAATTATTCATTTAGTTTTTGCAATTTACCAAAATTGTATTTTTAGTTTTCAAAATAAAAGTTTTTCTATAGGGATACTAAATAGCCCATAAAATATCATTTTAAAAAAAAGAGATTTTAATTTTAGAGTAAAAAATATTGTTAGTTTGCCAAGAAAAAAAAGAAAAGGAATGAACTAATTATGCCCCTAAATGTCACCAACTAATCCTTATTTTTATGTCTCAATTGATTAATAATTTGAATTTTAAATTAAATAGGGCACTTACAAAAAGCGAAGTGCTATCTGCTCTTATATAATTAATCATCTTATGAACTAAAAAAAGAAATCATCATGTGATCAATGAGATACTAATAATTTAAAAGGCATTGAGTATTTTTTATCAATATTGAAAATGACAAAAATATCATTAAAAAATTATAATTTATTTAGTTAAAAAACTTTTTTCTCCTTTTTACTTTCTTCAACTCAAATATACTACAAGTTGGTTGATGATCAAGGGAGTAAAACAGCAATTTTTTGATTAAGGGGTAAAATAGCAATTGGGAGTTGCAGCCTACAGGCAATCGATTCTACTGAAATGATCATAGACATTGTAAAAGCCCGAGCACTCTAAACACGCAAGGTTCACGATTTTTTGAAAATCACATTGTTTATGAAAGTACTGTTGTTTCTTTTTGTTGTTAATTTCGTTGCGTCATGTCTTCTATTGCATTGGATTTATTATACTTAAACCATGTAGTTTAATTTATGTAATATTCATGAC